ATTTTTATTTATCTCTCCGCACAATGTGGGGCTCGAACTTGTGACCTGTAGATCAAGAGTCACATGCTCTTCCAACTGATCCAGCCAGGCATACCAAGAATTTTCACTTCTTTTTGAGACCAGTCCTTCACTTTCATAGGAGCATGGAGTGATTTTACTGATTGTGCAGTGATTTCTGTGGTGGGTATGTAGTAACTGTTGGGTGCTTACTGTGTGCTAGGCACTCTGCCCTCTATACAGGTCCACTTTGGCTGTGATGGCATGACTCCCTGTCTCCCCTTTCACTGCAGATGGTCCTCATCCCCGCCGGAGTGTTTACAATGGGCACAGATGATCCTCAGATAAAGCAAGATGGGGAGGCACCTGCCAGGAGAGTTGCTATTGATGCATTTTACATGGATGCCTATGAAGTCAGTAATGCTGAATTTGAAAAATTTGTGAACTCAACTGGCTATTTGACAGAGGTAATAGGGTTGGGATGGGAAGGAAGAACTTGTTCTTTTCTAATGTTGATTAACCATTTTTTATTATGTGCCCCCTACTATGCTCAGGAGCTTATATATTTTTCATCTAATCCAGTTCTCATAGCAACCCCATGAGGCTGGTTATTTTTCAGGTAGTGAAGTGAGGATTAGAAAAGTGGTTTGCCCTGGGTTGCACAGCTAGTTAGTGGTGGAGCTGGTTTCAAGCCTGGCCAGTGAGATGCCAGGGCCTCTTTTCTAACCATTATGCTATATTGTATCAACGCTTTACTATACCAGAGAGTGCCACTGCCTTCTCAGGCTTTTTGAGATAGCAGATAGAATCTAAAACCAGGCCACTTTTCCCTCTCAAAAAATTACAGTTTGTTTGTTCAAGAAGCATTACGTATTTCATTAAGCAATAGATGGAGAAGTACAGCTTTTCAATTTTGTGATTTTTTTTCTTTTTTCTTTTCTCTTTTGTTTTAGAGAGAGAGAGAGAGAACATGTGGTTGGGGGGGGTTCTTGGAGGGAGAGGGAGAGAGAGAATCTTAAGCAGGCTCCATGCCCAGTGCAGAGCCCGACGTGGGACTCAATCTCACGACCCTGAGATTATGACCTGAGCTGAAATCAAGAGTCAGATACCCAACTGACTGAGCTATCCAGGCGCCCCTGTGGTTTTATTTCAATGCCCGATGACTCATAAGCTCTCCTGTAGCAATTCCAAGTTATTCTCTGGTCACTGAATCCCAAAGCAAGGTTCTGCAAGTAGATGTTTCTTCTAAAAGTGAGTAAGAATAAGGAGGCTTTTTAGTTTATGAAATTTTCTCTAAGTGTCTAAAATATACTTGTTTTTTAGGCTTCCCATTTTCTTTCACCAAAGGACTTTACCCTTGCCTTCAGTTTGTGGAATCCTTGTTTTATTTCCTCCCACCCAGGCCCAAAACATTTTTTTCTTTTTTTTTTTAAAGATTTTATTTATTTATTTGCGAGAGAGAGAATGAGAGACAGAGAGCATGAGAGGGAGGAGGGTCAGAGGGAGAAGCAGACTCCCTGCTGAGCAGGGAGCCCGATGCGGGACTCGATCCCGGGACCCCAGGATCATGACCTGAGCCGAAGGCAGTCGCTTAACCAACTGAGCCACCCAGGCGCCCCAACATTTTTTTCTTTTAAATAAAAAAGTAATTTGAGAGTAAATGCTGAAAGCAAAAAAGTGTTCAAATTTGGTTTTGCAGCATCGCATTTCTTTGGAATTTCCTAAAACATACAAAGTGTTTTCTCTTTTGTACCTGTTTATTATAAGCAGAAGTCCCTCTTCTTTTTGTTTCATAAGGATCCTCTCAGATCAGTTTCCTTAATAGTCTATGTAAGTTAGAACACTTGTAAGGGAACAAACTCCCCTCAGACTAGGGTTCTCCATAAAGAAGATAGAATAAACAGAATTTAGGGCATTCAGGAACATGGATGAGGGAAAGTGACATCTGGCTTTTTACTACCCTTTCATTCAAGTTTAGCATTTCCTTCAATTATGAGGCAGATGACAAGCCCTAGTAATAGTAGCAGTACCTATAACTTTGTCACCAGTAGAAATCACAAACATTTTTTTGTCACGTTATTGTTGTAGATATCTTGAAATATTGTTTGCATTCATCCTTCCTTTAGAAATGATGATAATTGGGGGTGCCTGGGTGGCTCAGTCGTTAGGCGGCTGTCTTCGGCTCCTTTTAGGTCATGATCCCAGGAAGGCTCAGGTCATGATCCCTGGTCCTGGAATCGAGCTGCATTGGGCTCCCTGCTCAGTGGGGTGGGAGCCTGCTTCTCCCTCTCCCACTCCCCCTGCTTGTGTTCCTGCTCTTGCTCTCTCTCTCTGTCAAATAAATAAATAAAATCTTAAAAAAAAAAAAGAAATGATGAGAATTATGAGACCTTCCATTAGATCTTATTTAATATATTAATAAAGAGCATGTATATATTATTATACCACAAATTTACTTTATTAGTATTTTGAGATAACAATTTTTCTTCGTAATCATATTGATTTTGTTTTGTGTATTTAAACATTTCATTCTGAGAAGGAGTCCCCTAAGCTTCATCATACTGCCAGGAGGGTCCAGGACACAAAAAGTGTTAAGAACCCCTACTTTGGATAAATGTTCATTTTTTTATGATACTTTACCGTTTTTTTCTGTCCCTCCAACTTCATTTTATATCACACTCCACTTATCATGTTCGAGCCCAGCTGGTCTTGTTTCTATTCCTTGAAAACTCAGCATTCTTTTCCAGCTTGAGGTCTCGGCTCATATTTTTTTCCCCACTTGGAATTTCCTTCTCCCCTTGCCCATCTCCCTTTTACTGTGGCTGGTTCCTTCTCATTCTGAGTCATCTCAGCTTAATGGCCCCTTCTCAAGGAGACTTCCTCTCCCCTACTCTATTAAAAAGAGGCTTTTCTTGGTACTCTTTACCTTACAAGGTCAAGTAAAGTTGTAATTATTTTCTTCCATCCTTTCTTTGACTTGAGTTTTGTCTGTGCCCCCACATGTAAGTGCTATTAAGACAGGGACTGTGCTTATTTAATATTGACCTCATATCTCTGTCATTTAGTTCATACTCAGGCACAGAACAAGGGTGGGTACCCAAACAGGGCACGTTTGAAACTTGTTCATTGGATGAAGGGATGGTTTAGGTGCTTAGGCACTTTCCCACAAGGGAAAGATGAAGAAGAACAGGAGTGAAGAAAAGATGACAAGCTCCAATCAGGGAAAGGAGTTTGAGGTATTTATAAGGCCTGAACTACAGGGATCCAGTAGGGAGTTAACACCATCTAGTGAGGACAGAGCTGGCCTGGAGGTGCAGATTTGAGGGTCGTTTGAAGTGCATGCTGCTGGTCATTAAAGCAATGAGATTGAAGGAGGTTGTCTAGCTGTAGGTCCGTGTATCTCAAAGTGTGATATCTTGGCCCGCCTGTATTATAGTCACCAGCTGAGCTGTTCACACTTGAAGGTTCCTTGGCCTCCCCCTGGACCTCCAGAATCAGAATCTCTGCGGTTGAGGAGCAGTAACGTGTAGTGTTGATAAGCTGGCCAGGTGATCTCCACTGCACAAAGCTCGAGAGCCACTGGTGAAGAGAAAGAAGAGCCAGGGCAGAGCACTAGGGAACAACAGTGTTCTAGCGGCTAGAGGAAGAGCCCATGTATTTCAGGAGATGAGTAAGAAGAGTCAGAAAGAGGAAGGAAGCTAGAAGAGTAGAATCACGGAAACCAAGGGGTTAATTAAGTGGGCGTTTGCAGTATAAGGTCACATGCAACAAATAAAACAAGATAGATGAGGACTCAAGACAGTAATGTTAAATGAAATAATCAAAATACAGAGTTCAGTCTGATGCTTCAATTGGCCACTTGAGATTTATAAACACAGTTGACCCCTTAGGGGAGCTAGAGTCTATCAGAATATCAGCAAACAATGTCATTTAATTCTTTTAACTAGATTGCTGGAGCAGAACAAAGAACGAAGGTTGATTATGTAATCCGACATGTAAAGAATATTATTTTCCAAGTCATTTGAAACACTTGGGGAGATGTGTTTCCATCAACAGGAGCAATCACATTCTCAAAAGCTAATCTCTTCCAGTCTGCATTCTTATCAGCTAAATGAGCCTGAAAAGACAGTGATCTCTGTAAGTGATTGATATTAACCTGTTTTAATAGGAAGCCAGATGCTTTTAAGTCATTTCTAAATCCTCTGGGAAGTCATAAGAAAAACTAAAGGTCAATTGGACAAGAACAATCAGTTTTACAGTGCACAAAGAAAACGGTACATGTGAAATATGTTGCTACAACCTTTCTGGATTTTTATTTCCTTCTTTCCTTTTAGGCTGAGAAGTTTGGTGACTCCTTTGTCTTTGAAGGCATGTTGAGTGAGCAAGTGAAGACTGATATCCAACAGGCAGTAAGTAATGTCTAAACAGGCTCTCATATTTCTCTACTGCTCGTTGGAAAGGACTTGGGTGAAAACTCCAAACTACAAGTGCCACCCTCCTCAGCCCCCTACCACCTCACCATTCCTGCTCTAGATTTGCCTTTGAGAGCAGGTCCATGGGCCAGGGCCCCATGTCTTGAGGAAAATGGCACAAGTTCAGGATGGTAGCCGAAAAAGTGTCAGGTCTGACTTGAGTTTCTGTCTCGTGTACCCGAGTGACACATTGTGTTGCTGAGGAGGGCTTAGCTGGGCTCTGGACATTTCTGGGTTTCTTTGCTTATAGTCATTTCTAGAACGGAGGGTTAAATGTGAATATTATTTTAACTTCTGTACGTAAAGTCTTGATCTCATCAGGTGCTAGTGTGGAGAGAGAGCTTCCTATTTAAACATTCATGAATTCCTACGATCAGCGAAGTATTCATGAAAGGACCTTTGGCTCTGGGTATTCATAGGAAATTGAGCCAGGGAACTGGCCTTATCACCCAAGGGTGTACCTGCTTTCACAGAGAGGATCCAGGGAATGTAAATTAGGTGTGTTTTTCTCAGAAATCATGGAAACAGTGGACTGGGCTTCCATAAGCACCTGTGTAGTGAGCAGAACTTGGGATTTCTGTATGTTCGAGTATTTGTTTACACATGTCTCATAAGGAGCCAGAAAATAGAAAAACAAGGGAAGGATTGTACGTAAGCTAGGAGGTTGAGGGTTTATAAAACAAAGAGGGAAGGGAATGCAGGATAGGCAGGAGGTAGTGAGAGAAGAGAGGAAATGGGGTTGCAAGGGGGACTGATTGAGATACAGAGATTGAAGACAGGAATTCAACCCTAATCTTCCTTTGTTACACAAGTTCCCTTTCAATTGCCTGAACTTGGTCTTTATGTGTTGGCGTCACTGTTCTTCTCTTTTGCGAGCAGCAGTGCCAAAAAAATTAAACCATCCTGGCTCCTGTTTTCTTTCTCTTCAAATGAATGTAGCAAAGGTGGTGGGGGAGAGGAGGTAAAAGCAGACCTGCTCTCGATTCATTTATAGGAGAATCGGGCCACTTTTTGTATGTATTTTACATAAATGTTTTTAAAACATGACCGAGCTCTGTTTGAATTTCAGGGTTTTTTTTCCTCATTACAAGTTTTTATTATAAGTCTATTATGTAATCTGATACAACTTTTTTTTTTTTCTTTTTTTAAAGGGCTTTGAGGTCATATTGGCCTAGTGTTGATGAGCCAGCAGCTCAGGATGTGGTGCCTTGTTTTAAGATACGGAGTTCAGATGAGGGAGGGCCTTTGTACTTATTTTTGAAATTTGCTCTTTCAGATACAGGGCCTCTTGTCACTTGAGAACCTCTGAACACATTAGGCATAAAGGCAAAGGCAGATTATTGCTAGGCTCTGAGGGTGCCCTCTAAGTACCTAGCAAAGTGTGTGTGCTTGTAACTAGGACGATAACAAGCAGCTCTCACAGGAGCCTCATGTTGGTCTGTTGCTTAAATGCTCATAATGGAAAAGTAAACCTTTTAAGCGTGTTCAGAAAGGGCTGGAATGAATAAAATGAATCTGTTGATGATTTGAGAGTGCTAAGTTTTTGTTTTTTCAGCCCCCTCTTAGGTCTGACATACCCTCTTGCACCAGACCTTTGTTTTTTTTTAAGATTTTATTTCTTTATTTGAGGGAGAGAGAGAGAGAGCATGAGCAGGGGGAGGGGCAGAGGGAGAAGGAGAAACAGGCTCCCCGCTGAGCAGGGAGCCTGATGTGGGACTCCATCCCAGGGGATCCCAGGACCCTGGGATCACAACCTGAGCCTGAGGCAGATGCTTACTTAACCCCTTAACCGACTGAGCCACTCAGGGTCCCCTGCCAGACCTTTTATTAACCCAGTGTTTCCAGAAGCATAAGACATGGGATGGCCCAGGAGAAGACTTGAAGTGAAACAGGAGATGAGTTAAGGTAATACGTGGCAAAGCATAAGGTAATCCTGAATCATGGAGTGAGAAAGTTATTCCCTTTTCAGATCTCTTTCAAGACCTGTGTAAGTCAAGACAGAAATTTCATTTTGGGGGTAGCATGTCATTAACACTCATCAACACTTGTTAGTTTCCTTTTAAACACACAAAATCAGCCTTGGAAACTTCCCAGGCTATAGTAGCTAACTAGAATTTAGTAATATTGTTTACTTCCATGTAATTATTTTATAATATTGTTTATTTTCATAGAATTATTTTAAATGTTTCATGTAACTTTTAAATAAATGTAAATTATTTTAAATGTTGTCATGAATGTTCTTGTTGTGACAGGTTGTACCAGTGATACAAATTTTCCTAAAAAAAAAAAAAAACAACACAAATACATAAAACCACACAAAGCAAATGTTTAGCTTACTGAGTTATCCTAAGGTGAACATGCTTATAACCATCACCTAAGTCAGGAAATAGAATTTCTCTGCCTGCCTCAGTAAACCCCTCCATGAGCCACAGCCTTATTCCCCTTTTCTTTTCCTAAAGTTGCCATTATCCTGCTTTTTAAAGTAAATGCTTCCCTGTATTTCCTTATAGTATTATCACCAGGTGTACATCCCAAGGCTACTAGGGTTTAATCCTATCCATTTAAGGGTAAATTTGTGTCTTTTTCAAGACTCTCTTGGGGCACCTGGGTGGCTTGGTCAGTTAAGTGTCTGCCTACCGCTCAGATCGTGATCCCAGGGCCCTGGGATCGAGCCCCACTTTGGGCTTCCTGCTCAGCAGGAAGCCTGCTTCTCCCTCTCCCTCTGCCATTTCCCCTGCTTGTGCTCTCTGGCTCTATCTCGCTGTGAAATAAATAAATAAAATATTAAAAAAAAAAAAGACTCTTTTAATCACAGGTTTCCTTTCTGTTGCTCCATCCCCCTGCCCCGTTTTTTATCCCTAACAATTTATCTCTGGAAGAATACAGGGCGATTAACCTGTGGACTTTCCCATGGTCTGAATCTTGTTGTTTGCCCTCTCATGGTGCTGCTCACCTGTTTTCCCTGGCCTCTTCATTTCCTGCAAACTGGTAGCTAGATCCACAGGCCTGATCAGACTCATGTTTGAACCCAATGGCAAGACCTCAGATAATGGCATTGGCTGTGTACATTGTTCTTGGGTTCTTGATGTTGTTATTCAGTTGTTCTGTGTGGTTTTATGCGTAGATTTGGGGCGATCCAAAAACTATGCTGCTGCTGCTGTCATCTTAGGTAGATTTTTTTTTTTTTTTTTAATATAGAGGTTTGAGGCAAGACATTGAACTGGCTTTTAGGGTTTGCTCATAAAAATATCTGAAACTGTGTGAATTTAACAGTTTAAAACAGAGCATATGTGCATGCTGAAATCTGCTTAGTTGTAATTATTATTTGAATGCTCAATTTGAAACAAATGTCTTAAAAGGTATAGCTACTAAATCCTTGAAAGGATTAAGGCTAGTTTTGGTTGCTGTGTTGTTTTTGTTTTGGGGTATTTTATTCAAGATAACCTTCTATTGTTGAAATAAAGGTAGTGGTTAAAATACTTAATATTTAAAAAGTATGCTTCATTTTAATAATTGTGTTATTAAAATAGCTCATAAATCTTTGACATGCGGGATGGCCGTGGGGTGGGGAGAAAACAGTTGCTCTCAGTGGGAGCCTGAGAAACAATGATTATCTCTTGGTTTGTGGTTTGGCACTTTCTGAATTTGCTAACACTTTAAGGAAACAAATTTTTGAATAGGTGTCCTTGATAAAGGAGGAGGGTAGGTTATTTTGAGAAGTTCTTTTTAACTGAAAACAAGTTTCAGTGAGGAATCAGAATTACCAAGACATCTTCTTCTTCTTCTTCTTTTTTTTAAGTAAAAAACAATTTTGGGACAGCATATCTTGCCCAAGTAAATGCTGGGTGCTGTGTTATTCGAATGATGCTCAACCAGGACAAAAGGCAGGGAATGTTGCAGCCTGTCTCTTACATAATTACAACTGGGCAAAGACTCTAAGCTAGAAAGAGAGCCATTAGTAAGGATGTGATTCAGTTACCTAAATGTGCATGGGTTGTAATGAGAAATGCCTTGGGGCCCAGCAAGATTCTGAGGTCATACCCCAAAAATAATTTTTAGAAGAGCTTTAGTAAGTTAAATAGTGTAAGCCAAGCCAGAAACTGTTCAGAAAGGCAAGTTCCAGTACGTAGGAAAAGTAAATTAAAATAACTCAAAACATGTGCCCGGTGGATGAATTGCTCAACCTCTTTTTTGATGTTAGAAGTTTTACTTTTCTGGTAGCTTAACCACCATTTCCTTGGACAATCTCAGTTCAGCTTTAAGAATTTTCTTCTTTCACACGGCCACCAAGACTTTTCTCTCTCAAACTGATTTTGGGGCTTGTTTATTCAGAAAAGCCATAAGGAAAAGATCACAGCCACATCCTTTGAGTGAAGGAGACCTGGTTTTAAACCTCAGCCATGCTGCTAACCAGCTGGTTTTGAGAAAAGTCACTTAACTTCTTTGCTACTCTTTTTTTTTTTGGACTTCTCAAGTTGACGCTTTGTTTTCAAAGTTTTGGGTCGTCTTTTTTAAGCATTATGATCTACGGATTTCTTTCTAAATGATCCTTTTAGTTCCACAAGTTTTGTAATTTATTTGTAATTGTTTATATCTAAGTATTTTCTAATGTCCAACATCATTTCTCTTAGTGATTCTGTCCGTTTTTGCTTTATATCTTTCAAAGCTTTGCTGTTAAGCTTGGAAGGGTAACTGCATAAGTGTAGAAGTGTATCTTTCTTGTTCAATTTTGACATATAGGGATTCTCTTTTTCTCTGATAAGTTTTATCTTCAGTCTGTTTTTTGTTACCTACATGGGTGCACAAGATTTCTTTTGTCTAATATATACTTTTTCATCTTTTCATTTTCAGTCTTTCTGTGTCTTTATGTTTTTAATATGTCTCTTGTAAAGAGTATATAACTGTTTTTAGAAAGTCCATTCCGACAGTTTTTGTCT